GTGGTCGTTTGGACCGGACAGGAAGCGCTTCTGTTCGGGCGGAGGCCGGATTTAAAGCCCGGTTTTTCTCCGACCGTACGTGCATTTGGCTGCTTTTTAAGATGGCCGACAGGCATCGAATTAGGCTTGTCGCGCACAACGGAGTAAGTTCTGGTGAGACCACGGTTCACGTTTGGTTTTAGGACACTCAGACAATTTGAAATCTGCTTTCCTGCCTGTGTGCTTCCTTTTGAATTAATTTGGCCTTTGTCGTCAAATGCTCCCCTGGGGGGGTTTGGACCAGAGCCGGGAATGTTTTGACCTTTTGAGTCATCACATTTGAGTCTGTCTGCTGGGGCTTTATTCTCTTTTCCCCCAAGAACCTGTAAAAAAAAAAACAGAAACACCCACGTGAAAAAAATCCCTGCTCAACATGCATCTGGCTAACATCTGGACAAAGAAAAACAAGCCTAATCAACTAAAGGTCAAATTGCCACCATGGGGTTATGTTTTCGCTCCATTTTTTGTTCGTTTTTTAATCATTTGATTATGTACATTTGAAAAAAAAATGACTCAGTCATGTTTTTGTGGGCCGCCTCAGTCTGAATCCAGGAGATAAATCAGGAGGTTTTAGGAGTGGGTAGTTTCTGACGCCATTAGCTCTATCTCATTATAATATTCCAGCCTTCTGCTGGGTTTTTCTTTGTTGTTTTTTTCTTTAAAACAGGCTAGCGACAGAAGGGAATCTCTTGGTCTTCTTCCTAACTCGTGAGTTAGCGACACAGGCCTGAGTCACCAAACACACACTCCCTACCTTTGATGCAGGTGTGTCAGTCTTCACGACAGGAAGATCAGAATGGAGCAATGCCCTGCAGGGGAAAGTAATAGTTTAACCTGTATCACCTGTACAATATCTAATAACCCACTTTCAACTTGTGACATCTGTGTACTCACTTCAAAGGGGGCGGTTTCAGCTTTCCCTTCGCTGCCAAGTATTCCATCAGCTTCTGTTTGCGTAGCTCTGTGACGGAGGACAAAAGGCAATTAAGGGCTTCCTGTTCATAAGATTTATATACAATAACAAAGGTTTAAATGGCTAAATAATTATAACAAAGTGCCACAGTAATGCGGCAGGCCCCCAAGTGGGACAGACTCCATTTATTGCTGGAACACTCTTATCAAATTTTCCTAAATTCAGTGTTTTTCCTTGGTGATTGTTATAGTCTTGGCAGATGATTAACCGAATTTCTTTCTTATTAAATCACACAGAGCGTCTCAGTGCTCTGCCCTCGACTATTGTTTTTTCGTTTCGTCATCTACAGGTGACTCATTTTAAGCGTCTGAAAAACAGACGAGATAAATTCCTAGAAACTGCCATCTAGCGGAGGGTGAATAATACAAACCTTGGGATGTTTCCACACAGAAAAAAGATAATACAAAGCCCAGCAATAGGAAATTATCAGCCACAAATGTGTTAATTTCCTGAGAATAATCCATCAAAAAACACCCTCAAATATAAATGGATATAACTGATGTAAGGTTGGCTTTTTATTATATATGAGGAATATAACATATTGTCAGAATATACCATTTGTATTTCAACTCCATACAAGTACTTAATTTTGTCT